AGGAATTCCTACGTCAGACAGACAGTAGACATCCGCGTTTTACTGATAAGGGCTGTGCGCCCTAAGAATCTGAGTGCTAGGGTACAGGAACGTTCTCACATTCCAGTACTCCATACCAAAAATCCGTTCCCGATTGAGTAGTCCAGCTCGCATATTATTCGTCCGCACCACTGAATCATGGTTGCACAACGCGATGTTTCTTAGGAATTGAGTACGAACGGATTTCCAACAGCGGCTCGGCTGATTTGTTCGAGGTTCGATACACTATCACTCTGGCCCAAGAACCTAACCTCAAGTTAGCGGTAGCAAGCAAACTTATTAAATGGCGGTTCATAGTCCCAGTCACAGAGCCGACACCGGGCTTTGCGGCTTTCGGTGTGCTAAACCTCAGTCCTCTGCAGCCCAGCAGCACTATTGCCGCTAGTACGCGACTGCTTATCATTCCGAACCGAACGTCTGCTCATTTTTCAGCTAACCTTCGTTGAAGGTCGTTCGACTATCCGTCACCTGTGGACGAGTCGGTTAATCAGCAGCCCATCTTTACGGGACAACCCGTATAGTTGCGTTCATGTTCAAGTTCTATAGTCATATTTTCCGTCATTACTATCCTAAACAGATCAGCCTCGAAGATTACTTGAATGCCGACTTTCAATGCGGTTCACTAGCACATAGACTACGCAAATTATTCAGGCCGCTTGTGACATTTTATAACAAAGGCCTCCAGTTTGTCTACGCCTGTGATTTTACCTCAAGACTTGGATATGATTGCCGATGGGGGAATGGGGGACACATGGTTGACGGCGTTGCAACAACTGTTCAACTGTCATTTGCGCACTTGTACTGGAGTGAGAAATAAGTGCTCTTATTCGGAATCTACTCGCCGACTGAGTAAGCAGCACTCCCACTACCGAATTCAGTCTCAGCTTGTTAGCAGAGTAACTGCCTTCTCAATTCCCCCACGCCTTTTCAGTCACTGTTCACACGGACGAAGAACATAAAAACCCCGGATACTAACACGTTGGTAATGTTGCCGCGCAGACGAAATAGGTCTTTCAGCCATCGTACTAACACAAAATCATGGTTTACCGTGTTTAAGAAGGCAGACAGCTCACAAATTTATGGGACACACAATCAGCTCAGAGTGTGGTGTGTTATAAGGCTGATGCGTGGATTGGGAGTCAGACGACGACGGTTCCTTCAAACCCCCTGGTTGTGTAAATTCTGGTAGGTGTGAAGGGAGCTTGGTTGTGCTGTGGCGGGCGTAGACGAGTTCACCGGCCTGTCAGCCACTGCACCCACCCCACATCAGGCGACTGATCGGCT